TGACAGAAGTGACCAAAGGATCATTGTGGGGTGTAACAACTGTATCGAGATCAGCAGATGTGAAAGTAATTGGTTGATTCTTCCATTCAGCATCGTCAATCTTCCGCTTCTGAGCTCGGTTTTGATGTTTAACCTCCCTGACATACAGCTTTTGCTGCTTAGAGCTCAGTCCACCTGCTTCAAGGCCTCCCGTAATCATATGTATGATTCTAGCTGGTGGTGGGAGTGGAGGTGGGGTTTGTTGATATCCTACACCTTGCCTATTTGGGGGATTGCGGGCTCCTTGAGGCTGTGGCCTCTGTTCTCTGACAAACCTCGGCTGTTCAGCTCGCTGTACATACTCATTCAGCATTCCCTTTTGAGCTAAACTTTCCAGTTCAGACTTTAAACTGTTGCACTGCTCTGTAGTATGGCCGTGATCTTGGTGAAAATCACAATATCTGGTATGGTCTCGACTAGCAGTAGTAATTCGCATTGGGCCGGGACGTCTCAAGTCCATCTTATTTTTGATCTGCATAAAAATTTGTGACCTTGGCAAATTAAATGGAGTCCAATTAACTGGAGGTTTACCTGCAGATTGTTGTGGAGGCGTGGAGTTCGGCCTTCCGAATCTCGATGGGGGGGTCAACACTGGACCTCGGTTCTGCACCATTCTCATCCTTTTTCGGCTCGGATTGTCATCTCGCCATTCTGGGTTCTGGTTCTTAGAGGAAGGTGAATTTTGCGCCAGGGCGTATTCCTCAACAGTTATAAATTTCAGAGATCTGTCATTTACCTCACTAAAGGTGGTGGCAGCATGTTTGATCAAACTGTCTCGGAACTTGTCATGTTTGAGACCAGAGATTACAGCTGCAATGCCCACAGCTTGGTCAAAGAAATTAACCTCCAACACCGCATCATTGAACCTGCTCATGTAGTTCTTTAGGGACTCCCCATCTCTCTGTTTAACTTGCATCAATTCGATAGTAGTTTTCCTAATCAACATTCTACTGGAAAACTTAGTGGCAAAGGCAGATGCCAGTTCTGTGTAAGAACTAATTGACCTTGGAGGTAAACTATAATACCACGTTCGAGCATTACCTCGCAGAGTAGAGGGGAAGATCTTGCACATTAACGCGTCAGAGGCATTCTGTGCTTGCATACAAGAGTAAAAAGCATGCAGGTGATCGTCGGGATCCTTCGTCCCATCATAAGTCTCCAATTGTTGTATTTTGAAACCAGTAGGATAGGGTTCCAACGTGATGTTGGTATTCAAGGGGTGAGGTATGGAATCAGCAGCATGGTGTGGGGGTGGGGCACCTCGGGGTCCAGCTACCAGCTTTTCTAAGCTATCAAGGCGGCGGGTGACATCATCAGGGATGGGTTGTGGAGCGGGTGCTATGTGGGATTGATCTTGAGATTCGCTAATAGTGGGAGCAGGTTGAACTGGTTGGGGGTTCTGTTGTGGAGCTGGGGGTTGTTGAGCAGGGTTTAGTAAATTAATGAGGGGGTCACCAGGATTATTTCTAGCCAGAAGCTGAGCTAGTACCAACTGAAAAACACCAAACTGCTGCTGCATGGCAGCAAGCTGAGTTGTCACCGCGTCTTGGTTGGCAGTGGAAGTTGAATTGTGAGCTGAGGTATGGGGTTGATTTTCATCTCCTCCTTCTGCATGATCAACAGGAGGGAATATGGTTGGGACCTGAGGTGGAAGTTGAGGTGGGATTTGAGGCGGGATCAGAGGTGGAAGGTGGTTTGAGGGTTGACCTTGCCCATGAGGTAGAGATGAATTACCAGCTCGGACTGATCGAGTGTGAACTATGATGAAAGAGCAACTAGAAAGCTTTTAGTTCGATTCCCACAGACGGCGCCAATGTAATTGCACCAAACCCGAAGTCCTTCTTCAGTCCGCGCTTGCACTTCGGAATGACCTGCAAAGCCCCGAGGTGGAACTCGAGGTAGACCAATGTAATTGCACCAAACCCGAAGTCCTTCTTCAGTCCGCGCTTGCACTTCGGAATGACCTGCAAAGCCCCGAGGTGGAACTCGGGGTAGACACTCCGATGCTTAAGTCAGCAATAATCGGGGCTACCTTAAAGGCGGAGATAAGAAAAGCTTAAGGTTGGTTTCAATTACTTTTTTGATGTGGCCCGGGGGGGTATTGATAGGATTCAATGAGGAACCCACGTGTCATGCCAAGCAAGATAATCGGAGCCTGACGTGTCCATCCATCCAGGCGATTATTCCAGGACCGGGAATTTGAGAGGTATCCAGATGCACGAGCGTCCACCATACTTGCGTGCCACTCATCGTAAGGGATCAGGTGCGGGTATGCTTATTGTCCTTGTCATGCAGCCATTTGAGCGGGAGGCTTTGGATTTATTCCTCACTTCGGTCATAAAGGAATTACCGTAGCAGTCCGAGGCTTGGTACCTCGGACCTATCCTTACAAGACCTTATTTAAGGAAACATTATTTAAGAAAAATTGAATTTAATCTACTCGAATTAACAGATAGTTGGTTCCAACTTCTAAGTAATTTTCAGTCTAGGCCATTTACCTGTGTGTGGCTAGTGGTCACACTTTCTTTCAGAAGTAAGTGATGGCATCCTCAGGATGTGAAATTGAAGTTTGAAGTTTAACATTTCCTCTTTTTTTTTTTTAAGAATAGATATTAATAATATTAATATAATTATCACGTTAAAAAAAGAAAAAAAGTGCTAGTTCCACTCTAGTCTCGGATCGAAAACCCAACCCAAGTTTAGACTCGGCTCGTTCGGACCAGGACCGGGTCAACGGGTATAGTCCCAGTCTTTTACTTAAAACCACACGTCCATGCCGCCGAGAAGCAATCCCAGGTGAAACCCGACCATAGACACTGACAGATCGGCACCACCGGACGCAACCCAATCCCAATCAAATCGAGTAGAGAACGTTCCTCTCCGACAGCCACATTACCGGACCGGCCAGACAGCCTCGGCATCAAACGGGAAAAGCTCCGACGAAGCCCCAAGAGAGGAGACAAAAACCCTCACGGACTAATCTAGTACGTTTTTTTAAAATTGTTAAATTTATTTTCGATTTCTTTCAATTTTGATAGCAATTGAGTATTCATGATTTTTTTTTTTCAATAAAAATTCTAATCATGAACTTTCTAAATGAGTTCGATGGCCCTTCCTTTGCTACAAATAGAAAACTCAGAGTTAAAATCATAATTTTTAAATGCAATGTTTTTGTCATACTATTAAAACTCCAAATGAAAACACTCAAAATCAGATAAAAATTAGTAACTCCACAGATTAGGCACACATTGTTCAAATGGCAATAATAGAACTGATATCTTAAATTAATCTTGTGCATTGCAACCGCAATGTAACATGTGCGGAGGAATGTTTCTCTTAGGCACAGAATACACAAGGTGAAAGAAAAGCTTTGTTATGTCTTGCTAAACTCTATTGCGAAACAAATGTATTGTCAATTCACCATCTTTGTTACCCTAATTGAAGAAGTCACATAACTCTACCTCAAACCAGCTATCTTCCCTCTGTTGTGGGTACTTCGCACCACCATCTCCTAGAATTCTTCTTGCCTGCACATATATAGTTCTTGAAAACCTGCCTCTTTTAAGTCATTAACTACATTTTCCACACCATTCCAAACTAAATGTAGTTCATTTGTCTCGTCTAGCAACTTGCTAACTGAATGCTCTGAACTAACTATTTCATTTAGCATTAGCTTCAATATTTTTGAACTTCCACAGGAATTAATTATCCCTGTAGTTCTACTTGTCTCCTATGAAAATCATGTATCTTAGCAAATTTTCAGATGCTAGAAATCATCTGGATATTGCAGATATTAATTCATATCTCCACTAAGTCAAATAGCATCAGATAATTAGGAGATAGTTATCAAATATACAGATATAATATAACAGTTCAAGTGGCGTCCATCTGGGTGGTTTATCATTCTCTGGATCATAACAGCAACATATCTGACGAGGCATAATAGTAGCCACTTGTTCAAATAATGTCACACGTGTTATCGTCAGACAACTTTGCAATTTATGGTGTAAACACATTGATGGAAACAAAATCTTATTATTTATTTACTGCTAACTGGCCTGATCTCTATGCCTTGAATAATGAGACCACCATTCCAGTGACCAGCCAACTGCAAAATACTCATTTACATTTTGTTGTCTTTGCCTCCAGTACCTCTGTCTCTATTCAAAAACACAGTTCGTTTACAACCTTAAGTTCCAACAAGTCCAACATTTACCTGTACAAGCTGGTACTCAAATTCATAAGCTGTCTTTGTTGCCTTGAACACAAGGTAAGCTTTATAGTGCATTAGATAAAGGGTTTTTTGCCACTCTCAAAGAGTTTAGGGGGTTGAATGCTACTGATTTAGCTTGAGGGGCTAATTTGTGTCCTCTTTCTCAATTGCCTATATTAGAAGGTTTTAGGTCAAAACATAAAAGACATAATTCATAAGCATTATTTTTGTGTTATCTTTTCATTTACTTATACTCCACCTTTCATTAGTTTTTCCTACGACACAGTTAAACTCACATATTTTAGCATTATAGTTATCTATCTACCTATATTTGGCCTCCCTTTCTTGCTCTATATATATATTAACAATTTGTTTGTTGTTATTTTTTCTTCCCTTATCCTCCCACTTATTAATTTTTCCTATGGCACCATCTTTTAATTTCTCCTCTCATCCTTGCTCACTTTAAACTCTGTCTGCCCTTTCCCTTTCTATAGTAATAATTTGTTTGTTATTATTATTTCCCTTTATCCTCGCCTAATAGTATTCTTACTTAATTACCCCTTGCATCTTCATCTATTATTATATATCTTTTTAATCCAATTTTCTCTCTCTATCTATCATTAGATATTTTTTGTTTTCTCAAGATTACAATAGCTTTAAATATCTTTAAATTGCAAATAATGTAGTAATTTGCAATAAATTTATAAACATACTCACAAATTTATAAGTTTTAACCAATAGAAGATATAAAGCCTACATTATCTCCCTCCTTTTACCTCTTTATATTACTAAGTTTGTTTGTTATTATTCTTTCTCTCATTCTCCTCTCACCTCTATCCTTTTTTAGTTATTCCTTTAAATTTTCTGTATCAAAATATATCTTTTTTTTTGCACCATTTTTTCCATGTTGATACTTTTTTCACTTACCTATGGTTCACCTTTCATTAATTTTTCTTGAGATTCCATTTCTTAGCTTATTCTCTCACATTTTATAATTATCTGTTTACTCAACATTTGCCCTCATTCTCTCTCTCTCTCTCTCTCTCTCTCTCTCTCTCTACATATATATAAATATGTATATATATATTAATAATTTGTTTGTTCTTAATTTTTCTCATCTTATCCTTGTTCTTTCAATATTATTCTTTGCTAGTCACTTCTTGCATTTCTATTTATTATTATATATCATTTTTACCCTAATTTCTCTCTCTCTCTCTCTCTTTCTTAATGAATATATTGAAAGCATGTAAGGGCTTTTACTTTACCATTTTAATAATTTTTTGATGTATAGTTTAGACTTTTGATAAAGAGAATGTCAAAACATTTTTAGGTTTCTCGCAGAGGTTCCTTTTTTATTTTTAGGTTCCTTGTAAGTGTTCTTACTTCTTGCTTATGCGTTGGTGGTTCATTTAGAACTCATTCTCTACTTTTCAAATTGGTCTTATAAGTTGATATAGTCATTATCAAGTAATAGTTGATACACATTCGTTGTACGGACTACAATTGGTTGCTTCTTAAAATTTTTGATATTTTAGTAATCATTATTAAGAAATTCATTTATCTAGAATTATTTACATCTTAGTCATTATTACTCCCTTAGTTCAAGAATAATTGAGTAAATAAGAATCAATTTGCGAAGTGCCACTTTGAATATAATAGAATTTGTATTTATGCTAAACACATTATGTAATTGAAACAGAAGTCAGATTATGTATTTACATAAGTTGTTTTCAACTTTAAAAATATGTAGATGTAAAAGTCATATTATTTTATAGTAATTAAAGTGGAATTTAATAAAAATTAATAAGTTTGATATAATTAGAGTATTATTAAGTATTATTATACGGAGAATTAATCTAATAAGGAATTATATTTTTCGTGCTCGTTATGAAATTTGAAAGGGCATTAATTTAATTTAATTGGGTTTCAAGTTTCTCAATGAAGTTTTTAAGAGTTCCATTTGATAGTTATTGGAGATTTTAGAAAGATTTTAAAAGACTCATTTGATAGTTATTTGGTATTTATTGAAGATTTTAACAATTTTCATAATATAGTATATTGGACTAGATTAAGTTGTAGAATTAATTTGGAATTGAAGTTGCCCAGTCAATTGTTGAAGTATAGAAACAGAATTTATTTATTTATTTTTTGCTGAATCAATTTGTGGAATCAAATTGAGGTCTTGATAATTAAAATTAAAATTATATTTATAATTATTTATTAAAGATTTTAAAAGGCACATTATGTATTTATTTGAGAATTTAGAGGGATTTTAACATGACATTGGGTACTTATTCAAGATTTATTAAAGATTTTAATAATTTCTATAATATAGTAGGATAAAAAGATATAATTAAAGTAGTTAAAGTCAAATTGAAGTAGAATTTTATTAAAAAGAAAGATTATTATTGAAAATATAACATTGAAGATGCTTACGGAAAGATTACTATTGAAAATATTATTGAGTTTGAATTTTTAAAGACCCATTGGGTATTTATGTGATATTTATTGAAAATTTTAAAAGGTCCATTAGTATTTATATGGTAATTTTAAAAGACTAATTGTGTTTATTTGAGATTTATTGAAAAATTTAACAATTTTTATACAATAATATACTAAGAAAGATTATATTGGTTTGGCGGGGAAAATGATCAAACATCGAACCAAACCAACTTTGAACACCCCTAATTACAAATCCCAAATGGTAAAACAACACTTTTTCATGGGAATGATTATTGCCATGAATCAAATTGTTAAAACCAACAAATTTAGGACTTAAATTCCATATTCAATCAGGTGAACAAGCGTGTAGGTTCAAAGTGCAAGGGCTTCTGCTCTCTCCCAAAAAATGAGAGTGTCTGCTTCCTGAATGGGAGTTGCTGCTGGGCGTTCCCAGTCTCTGTTAGTCTTCTAACTTCAATCATTTTTCTTCTCCTTCATTGTGTATACCATCACCTCTTTCGTTGCCTTCCATATCATGTTTCTTTGTTGTCCCTTTTGGTATCAAAACCCCAAAAGTAGTTTCCGTGTTGTTTGTTTTTCAACCTTCATCATAAACCCTAGAATTCCAATCTCATGCTTTGACCCCCTGATTATGGCAGTTTGCAGTGGGATTTGGGTTCTAAATCAAATTGGAGATATTCTTAGACCCCTTTCTCAAAGAGTATCTTCATCCCAAAGATTTTGATCGGGGTCAATTGACATTTGATTGAAGTTATTTGAAGCTTAACTTCAAGTCCATAATCCTCCCAACTCATATTGGCCAATCGGAAAAGTATAAATCTCGGAGTTGGCTTAGGCGTCCTTCCCTTGGAAATTTGGGCAACTGAAGAGGCTGGATTGTGTAAAGGGATACTGACGATCTGGATTCATTCCTTGGTGTTCCAGGTTCTCTTTTCCTCTATTTACCTGTTTCTGCAGATGTTTATTTGTTTGCAATTTCATAGAGGGAAATCATTTCTGAAGAGTTATTTATCAATTAACCATGGAATAGTAGCAATCAGGATATTATTTTATGAGGCTGGGGTAATTTCCTTGAGTTATGCTGTTAGAATTGTTAGTATTTTGTCTAAGATGCTGTTGCGAATATTGCTATTCATTGAGAAAATGTGTTTTTGTGATTTTGGACATCGTTTCTTCATATACAAAGTGTGTGGATGCAAATGAATTTGTATGATCCTTTAGGGGCAGATGTATGTAGGAGAACTATGTCTTGTTTTGGATTCTCAATCCCAGTCGCTCTTATGCTTATGACTAGCTAGATTGGGAAGATTGTTTTGAAGGGCTACATTGATGATTATGGACTCCTGGAGGATAGTTTAAAATACGAGATTGGCTATTTTACAAAGGATTTTGGTGATTTAGGTTGTTCTTTTCGGTAAAGAAAAAATATATGTTATATGGTTGCTTGTCTACTTGATGATGGCATGAGATTAATGGTGGCAAGGAGTTGTTTTGGGGCAATTTGGAGAGGGTGTCTCAGCTGGGAGAGGTATGGGTGCATGGCAGCAAGATCTTTTTCTTTCCATGTCACCGTATACTTACTCTGGTGTCCTTTCTTTTCCTCCACGCTTTGTCATAAGCAGAAATGGACTCCTGGTATGCTACTGCTTCACTGTGGTCTTTCTACCCTTGCTCAATTTGGTTTTTCCTCTGTTTCTCTAGCATGAGGTCTCTCCTCAGAGGTGCTGTGTTGCTTTGCACAACTAGCTAGTCTCAACTCCTTAGTTCCTCTCTATGGTGCTGTATTTCAGATGACTAAAGGTGAAGTAGATGATATGCTTTTCAAACAAAGCCTATTATTAAGAGGATGTACAGCTTCTGGCAGGAGCTCCTCCATGTTCCCTCTTTTCAGGATTTCATCAGGGTGTTTTGGTCTTTTGCTTTTATTCCTGCTTTGTTCAAGTGCTATTTTTCCCCTTCTGGTTCGTGTCCTTTGTCCTACACTTTTGTATGGATCTTTTATTTTGGCCATGTATAAGTATGTTGGCCGAAAAAAAAGTATCAAGTTCATAAGAGTAGTCGTATTTGGTTTGTGGCAATAACCATTTTCATTTGTTTCTCTTAAGATATCTAAAGTTTGTAAAACATCTTCCAGGGTTTTGAGCAATTGATAAGCCCTTGCGTGAAATTGCGCCCATCAAATTGACAGATGAACGACAATAACCTAGTTTGTGCGATTTCTTTAGTTTCTTGACTGCAGAGGAAAAAAAAAAAAAAATTAAGATTATGGACCAAACTGATACAAATTTCATGTTTCATAAACCAACACTAAATCTAGCTGAATTAAAATAATAAATTCCAGTTTAAATTATTCTTTTGTCAGACAATCAAACACTCTAAATCACTTCAAACTTAGTAATTAACTCCACAAATTAGTCATACATTGTTCAAATAAAGATCAAGAGACCACGCTTGGACGACGATAGAACTGACCATAATTTAACACGAGGAGAAATATTCCTCCCACACATAAAATACCCAAGGTGAAAGAGAATCTTGTGATGTCCTGCTAATTTGGCCTGATCTCCATGCCTTGAATAATGACACCGCACTTAACCTTTAAAAATCCGTGCTTAAGAAGATGTATTTCCAAATCTCCGCCTCTTTCTTTGGTGAATTCAATTTCACCCAATTCTACCTCAAACCAATTGTCTCCCCTCTCTTTCGGGTACTGATCACCATTTCCTACAGTTCCACTTTCTGCCTGCACGTACACTTCTCGCTTTGAAACTTCAGTTCCTCCAAGTAGAACAGCAGCTACTATAGGTGTATTTCCAAATCCATAGGGTTTGTCCGCCAGCTTGAACACAAGGTAAGCCTTATAACATGTTTTTGGAGAAAGCATGCGAGTATTAATCCTTCCATGGATTTCAAACCAAGAATTATAAAGAAGCTCTGCAACCTCAGGGAACCTGTTTGTAAGCATGAATTAGAAATATTCTTATGATCACAAATTTATTTATTTATTTTAGGCTGGGAAAGAGACTTAAACAATCAAGCGTCTATTTGCTTGAATTCTTTTAGATGTAGGTGTGGGTATGAGTGTGTGCATTGTGTTGTGTGTGTGAGAGAGAGACCTACCTGGGATCAGGTTTGAACCACCTCCAACAGCTAGGATCATTGCCCAAAGTAATTACAAGGTGCCTGGCAGGTAACATGTAACATATCCTCCCAGTCCTTTTGTATAAAAAAATTCTCTGTGCGATCAAGGTGATATGATTAAAGACTCAAGTGAAAGAGAAACCGAAGGATCCATAAACGTAATCATCATTAATTATTTATATTCCCAACAAGAAGATAATCCTATGACAAGCATAGTCCAGGAAAAGAAACATTGAATACCTAGGCCACATCCATTGAGTCTTGTAAAATTTCTATAAGCAATAATCTTTGTAGTTACTGCTGTATAGACATAAATTCA